CTGCCTTGGCTCACTAATGGATACTTCAACTTGGATAGTGTGCATCAATATAAAGTCCAAACCTGAATCAAATCTCCTTCACACCTATTCCACTATTTTCCCCATCTTCAGTTAGTACTAAGTCCATCTTTCTAGATGCTCAGGCCAAAAACTAATAGTCACCTTTGAATCTTCTCTCACAACCCCATCTAACCTGTTGGCTCAATGTGCCCAGTGCACTGGGAATCTGGTCACCTCTCACTGGGCTCATTTCTGCATTCCACAAGGAATTACTGTCTTCTCTTCCCTAGACCACTTCAAGAGCCTCTTGGCTAGTCTCCCTGCTTGCATCTTGCATGCTACATTCTACTTACCACATAGCATCCAGAGAGAACTGGTAAAATGAGGTATCACATTCCCTCAATTGCTGGGGAGCCCCCATTTCACTTAGCATGAAAGCCAAAGTCTTTGGGGTCCTGTGTGCTTGACCTCAAACTCTTCCCTCTCTGGTCATGTCTGCTTCCATTCTCATTCTGTTTCAGTCACGATTCCTTTGACCATATTTGGGACTGTGCTTCCTTCTTCCTAGAGGTTATCCATAAACATCCACATTGCTCAGTCCACCTTTCTCAGCTCGTCACTTCTCACTGAAGCTTACTTTGACACTTTATTGTGTATGGGAATTGCCCATCCTCCTGCTCCTACAGTTCCCAGCCTTCCTTGCCTTGGTCTTTCCTTGTTTAAATCCATAAATCTAATCACTTTTTGATACACTGTTTAATTGACCTATTATATCTGTTCTTTTGTCTGTTTGTCTGTCTTCTGTCAGAGCCAGGAATTCTTGACTGCCTTTTTCACTGTTAAGTTCCAAGTGCTTAGCTTGGAACATAGCACCTAATGGGTGCTTGATAAATATTTATTGAATGATGCATTTGTGAAGCCAGAACTGAGACTCACATCCATCTCTCACATCCACCTGCGGTACTCTGAAGCATCACACTCCAGTACAACCAGAGGACTGCAGCAACAAGCATGTCAACAAGCATTTTCCTCTCACATCATTGTTCTTACAGCTCCCCCATCCTCACAGTTCCCTGTGCTCGCTAATGGTTACAGTGTATGTCTGTTATTCATTGTATACCTGGCATCAGCACTGGTCACCACTTAGTGGCAGCCACACAGTCACAACCTTGTCAGGAAACAGCACAGACTGGTGATTCTTCCCATTCCTGAGACTCCCTTTGAGTGATTCTCATCACCCCCCTTTAGGCAAGAGACATTTCACAGCTCCTTAGGGAGCCTCCTTTATCTGCTCTTGGGTTTTAAAATTTGGCTTATGGACAACTTATTCCCAGATATACTTACCTCACAAAAGGGGAAAACTATAATAGCAGAAACCAACTGCCAGCAGTTAGAAATGCTTTCCTTTCTGTTATTTATTTGAGGCAGGAACACCTGGCTTCATTTTTATTATTAATGAATATGCAAAGGGAAGCATATCTTGGTCAGGGCCACAGGGAAAGCAAGGCTGGACCTTAGGTTTCTTGTCTCCTACAAACAAAACCATGGTTCCATTTGTGACCCTAGATCCTTGGGCTCCTGATATACTGAGTAAGTAATGGAGAAAAGGGAATAAAACATTGGGCAGGATGAAAAGGAGAGGCTCCATAATCCAGTATGAATCCAAGAAGTGAAGGGGGCATACGGTTACCTGGCTATGGGTTGCTGTGCACCTGTGACTGTGGACGCATCCGAATCAGCCTGATGCTGAACCACAGTGGAGAGTAGAATTAACCTTCCTCCAGGACCTGGTCCCAGATGCGCTAGGGATCTGACCAGGCATTGAGCTGCTCTGGGTTTCCATGGTGATTACTTAAACTTTTCATCATCCTTCCTGCAGACCTTGGAGAAGAGCTATGTGCTCAGGTTTCCATGGCAACCACTTAAACACGTATCCTTGTCTGGCTCTATTGGAAAAGAACTGCTAGAGATCATGCAAATGAACTGGCTGCGCTCCTTTACTTGGAAAAAAAAAAATCAAATAAAGTGACACACCTGCTTAGAAGTTTCAGATCTTTGTTCATAACAAGAAGGGTAAACGTGTCAAACTGCTGTTTGAGGCAGGTGTGCGCATGTCTTTGACAAAGTGCTCACCCAGAATCTCCTGCTAGTTCTGCGATCTTATGTAATTATCCACACTCTCCTCTTTCCCTCCCTCCCCTCTGCCTAGCAGCTGAAGAGCTACAAGTTCAAGGCTGTTTATCTTCCCACTTCCGGTTAAAGGAGGAAAGGAAGGACAGGGTTAGCTTCTCTCCTCAATGCAGGCCTTTACCACTGTAGAGAGAAAAACAGGGTTGTCACCTCATTTCACTGTCAATATATTGGCCAAAGGTAGTTAGAGACTTGGGTGACAGCCCTGAATAATGTGGAAATCTATGCTCAGTCTTTCAGAAATGATTCCACATTCTCTAGTGGAGCTCATAGAAGGACGGCAGGTGCTCTGAACATCAGGGCTAAAGGACAGAGCTCAGACAGTGAAAAACAACCAGGGTGCTCTCTCCATTTCCAGACATCTCTAAACTCCACTGCAGAGATGTGCCCCCAAGCTAGAGATCCCAAGGGGCAACAGTGTGCTAAAGTAACTGCAGACAAACCAAGTATTCACAACATGGTAGAAAATGGGTGCTAGCATGTAAAATGCTGCAGGTTTCCACTGAAAGTAGAGACTTCCCACTTCTCTGGAAGAATTAGAAGGTCTGTGGCAGAGTTGTACCTGACCAGGGTCTGCCCGGTAGAAGCACCTGCCCTTGAAAGTGAGCATGTACTTGACCTTGTGGAACTTTCCTGAATTGCATGCACTTTCTTCTTCCTGATTCTTGGGAAAGAGTTGGCCTTGTAACTTGTGATGAGAGGCACAGCACACAAACAACACCGATGGAGTAACAAACAATGAACAGAAACTCTTATTTGAGAAGATTATCCTTTGACCTTCTTTCCCCAATGCCCTTTCAGACACTTGAACATGGTGGAGGTGAGTGGCCTGGAGCAGCCAGGTGGAGGGGATCAGGAAGGTCCTGGTGAATGTAGTAAGGACCCCCTTCATGTATTTTCAGGTCAAAATCATGTTGGAAACCTATAGGAGGATACTGATTGCTTCTGCATGTTGCAACCATTTTGAAATCAATGGTTGAGGAAATTCAGAAATCAACTAATCATTTGGATAAATTATTTATCCAAGTAACTTTAGGACACAATTGTCTAGTTGGTTGATAGGGCTGATAGGTCACCTCATTGTGCCCCATTATAGGAGTCAGGTAGACTTATGTTCAAACTTTCTTTTTTATTATTGATTCCAAAATCATACAATATATTTAGATCATATTTAGACAGCCTCCCCCACAATCCCTTCCCCCCCATTTCATGTCCTCCATTTTATCAGTCCTTTTGTTTTTAATTTATTTTTAAATTTTTGTTTTTTAAAGGTCTATCAATTCCATTCCATGCCTCCCATGTGCTCCTGGGTTTGGGTTCATGCTCTGGGGCCTGGTCAACCTACCAGGTGTCACACCAGTAAGAATTCTCCCTTTCTCGGCATCCATCAGTTATCAATAGATAGTCAGCCATGGCTGGGGTTTCCTGCCCACCTCCCCCATCCATGCTGGACCCCTGTCTGGCTTGGGCTTGCACAAGTCTTGTGCCTGCTGTTGCAAGTACTGTGGGTTCATATGTGTAACTACCCTGTGGTGTCCAGACAACACAGTGTCTTTGTATTCATCTACCTCCTCTGGCTCTTACAATCTTTTACCTACCTCTTCCATAATGATCCTTGAGCCTTGGGAAAAGAAGGTATAATATGTGTCCCACTTAGGGTTGAGCACTCTGTAGTCTCTTATTCTCTGCATGTTGATCATATGTCAGTCTCTGTGTTAATTGCCATCTGCTGCAAGAAGAACCTTCTCTGGTGAGAGTTGAGAGATGTACCAACCTATAGGTATAGCAATAAGTTATTGTGAATCAGTTTTATATTTTTTGTTTAGCAAAATGATAGTAGTAGGCTCTCCCCTATGACCTGTGATTTGTCTAGCCACAGGTTCTCACCCTGATAATAGTGTCAGGTACGGACTCCCTTTTATGAAGCAGTACTTAAAGCCAATTACAGGGTGGTTGGTTACTCCCATAATATTTGTGCCACTATTGCACCACTGGGCATATCTTGCCAAGCCAGTAGCTTGCAGCGATCACAGCTGAGCAAGGCTGGTGATTACTTTTCTTTGTCAGTAGCATGCATAGCACCTTCCAGTACTATGAAAGCTAGCCAGCAGAGACATAGTTTCAAGGTCAATACCAGCTTGATTTCTCCTTATTTGTTCTGTGGTTCAGGTGTATAATGTCTTCAGTAACAGGGTCTTACTGTCTGGTTCTTACAGTACAATGGCAATAGCCAGTACTGTTTGAGGATCTTTGGAATCTCTCTAGTCAACCACTAGAGAGCTTTGCATTTTCTAGTCTGTGGTGTCTATTAGGGCCTTTGAACTCCTGTTACAGGGTAGCTATATTTAAACTCTTTTTATATTACATATGTAATATTGAAAGAGGCTTCTGTATTTCTCGATGGTAAGTGTTCTATGCTCTCTACGTAAGGTTTCTTGCCGTAAGATAGAGAGGTAGGTATGCTTGAATCACTAACTTTATGTAAGGCTCAAGTAGAAGGATTGTTGGAGAGGCCATGGCACTGGTCAATAAAAGTTTCCTCCAAATGATATCACCTTCTTCATGTTACCCCTCCCCTCCCAGGTGTCTCTTAATGCCCCTTTTTAGAAAAGAAGTAGGGAGTCTTTCCCTAATCATGTCACTTTTATTTTCAGAATCTCTGGTGTTTAAACCCTAGGGATGAAAGAAAATACTTGTCATCGCTAAGAATAAATCTGGGACCTTTAAAAACCAGCAGGCTGTCAGGAAATTGACTGATCATATTAAGAAACTCTGTCTTGTTTTTCTGTGAATATTTTTTAGGATGCACTATGGGAACAACAAATGTCAAGCAAAAGCTGGAAGAGATAAGGAATGCTGGGAAAGATATCAGTACAAGGAAAGGCCAAGCAGCCCTTGCTTTACCCCAAAAGCCAGCAGAATGTAATCAAACAATTTTTTGCATCTATAAAGGAGTCAAAGTGTTTTCATTCTGCAAAAGAAAGAACTTGCTGCTGACAGGCGGAATGGATCGAATAATTAGAGTCTGGAATCCTTACCTGCCTGGGTAAGTTGTCCTTCTCTTACCCAGAGTGCCATTGAGGCAGCAAAGTAAATGAAAACAAGACTGGGGATTCCCTACCAGAATAATTTAAAAGTCTCCATCCATGCCAGGCGTGGTGGTACACGCCTTTAATCCCAGCACTCAGGAAGCAGAGGCAGGTGGATCTCTGTGAGTTCAAGGCCAGCCTGGTCTACATAGTTCCAGGGCAGCTGGGGCTACAGGGAGACCCTGTCTCAAAAAGTCCCCCCCCCGCAAAAAAAAGTCTCCATCCAAAATTAATCGCCCACACTAAGAGCCAGGAAATTTCTGTTTATAGCTTTTAAAACTTCATTGTAATACATGTGAAATGTAAATACCAGCAGGATGTGGTGGGAATGCCTGTGATGCCATGATTTAGGAAGATGAAGCAGAACTCTAAGTTCAAAGCCAACTTGAGGTACATAGAGAGACTATGTCTCAAAACAAAAGTAAACACCTCACAATGACTACAAAGACTGTGGAGCATCACTGACCCACTTGCAGTGACTTCCTCTCATCTGATGGCATCTTCCTTACAATGGACCATGAGAAGCTGCAGGGTGACTGAAGACTTTGATGTGCAATCAATGTATACTTAGTGTGCCTCACTCAAGTGACCCCCGAGTGTACACTATTCTCTGAAGGGGGCAGCTAACCCCACAGAATTAATGACTGTACCATCCCTGAGGTATAACAGACTTGACATAAGAGGGCAAGTGTAAAAGACATTAAAAATTAGAGAATATTGTGGAAAGCCTGGGATTAGAACCAAAGAGCATAGAGACTAAAGGTACACTTCTGTCATCCTTTCAGTAGATGACTGCCATATTCTTTAGAACAGGCCTGCACCTCTCATGATGGGCCTTTTTGAGAAAGTGCTCTATGAACATTTAAAAAACTCATTTTGTTTTTCTTCTTTTCATGTGTGTGTGTGTGTGTGTGTGTGTGTGTGTGTGTGTGTGTGTGTGGTATATGCATGTGTGTGTAAGAGCATGTGCATGCACAGGCATATATATCGAGGCCTGAGGATGACTTAGGAATCTTCCTCAATTGCTCTCCACCTTGTTCGTTGAAATAGTCTCTCAAGTGAACCCAGAGTTTACCAATATGGCTAATCTGTCTCTGTCTTCCAAGTTCTGGAATTACAGGCGGGCTGCCACTTCCACCCAGCATTTATGTGGGTTCTGAACTGTGGTCTTCATGCCTGCAGCTTGCACAGCATATACTTCATCCATTGAATCATCCCCTCAAACCTACATTCTTGATTATAATGCTTCTACCATTTTATTGAGCACCAACTTTGTACTGATATATGCAACTCATATATCATCTCTGGCCCTTGCATCAAGCCAACTTACAAAAGAAGCAACTGGAGTCCAAAGAAGTAATGGAAGAGTCAGGATTGTAGCAGATTCATTTCCCAGAAATGTGATGAAGATGGGAGGAGAGGAGGAAGTAGAGAATTGATCCTCCTCTTCTAGTAGTGGGAATGAGAGTAAGTCACAGAGGCTGTGCCCAGGCTCCTGGCTGGGCTACCCTTGCTAGCATCTGTGGGGACCCACAGGTGACCCTGTGTCCATCAGTGATACAGATGATAGCCAGGACCATGAGGTACAGTAGGCAAACACAGTGAATCCAATTGTGCCTCTGTGACTTCCTAGCCAGAGGGTTCCCCTGACCAACCATAGCAGCCTCAGATTACCCATCTATAATGGTGACAAGAGGCCCACCTTCAGAACAATGCAAGATACATAATAAAAATGAAAGCCAATTTTCTCCTTGATTCTGTTGTACTAGATTCCCATTGATCTAGTAATGGAGAACAATTCATTTACATTCTTGGTTAAAAACAGGCATGTGCTCTCCCCTTTAACCTCAGCCAGCCCTCTTTTCTCCCTGTCTCTTGACCCTACCAGAGCGCCCTACCTAGAGATCCTAGAAGGGCACTGAAATCCTTCAGAGCACTTAAAAATAGCCTTGTATTACAAAGCCCAGATTGTAATGCTGTTCACTCAGGCCTGCAGAAAGTGCCAGCATGTCATTGAATCCATGCCGGCCCCATTCAGGCTCACCCTTGCCTATTCCTTTTACACAGCTATTGTTAACTGCTAGAGAAGCAGAACCTAAGGCTTCATCTCACCCTGAGCTCTGTTGCTGAACCTGGTTATTATTTGATTCCGTCCTTTTATTGTGGGAGAGGTATACTTGTGTAATTTCAGAGGGAAACTTAAGCCTCCTCCAGGCTAAATAGAACTGCCAGATCCAGACCAAGTTTAGTTTGCATTTTTATTTAGAAATAACAAGCAGAATGGCTTTGTGCTCATCTGTTCTTTTCCTTCTAGAAAACCAACAGGTATGCTGAGAAGCCACACAGCTCCTGTGATATACATCCATATATCTTCTGAGGATAACAAAGTATTTTCCATGTCAACTGACAACACTGTCAAGGTCTGTCCCTTTTAGGTTTTGATGCATGCATTCTTTATACAAGTTTTATTTATTTATTTTGGTTTTCTTTTTAGATAAGGTCTCACACTAGCCCAGGATGGTCTGGAACTCACTAACTCCTACTTCACCCTCCCAAGTGCTGGGATTGTAAGTATGTGCCACAACAGTGACCTGAGGCCAGTTTTTTTTTTTTTTTAAATTTCATGTGTATGCATGTATTGCCTGCATGTAGGTAAGTGCACCTGTCTCGTGCAATGCCTGCAGAAGACAGAAGAGACTGTCAGATCCCCTGGAACTGGAGTTACAGACAGTTGTTAGTTGCCATGTGGGTGCTGGGATTCGAACCTGGGTCTTCTGCAAGATGAGCCATCTCTCCAGCCCCTGAGGCCAGTTTTAAACAAAGTGATTTGTCCTTTTATAATTACCTTTCCCCATCTCTGGCAATGTGGGGATCCTCTGCTTTGGCAAATGCTTATGCAGTGTTTACATATGTGTGTTTTCTTCGAGAGGTGTGTGCCCACATGTGTGCATACATGTGTGTGCACACACGTGTGTATACTGCATGTGTGTGCAGTAGTGTGGTTTGTGTGTGTGCATGTGTGTATGCATGTGTATGCATGTGAGTGTGTGTGTGTTTGTTGAGCATGTATCCCTTCCAGCATTTAGGCCTCTGCCTACATGCTGTCCAGATAGTGCCAATGTTCTCCATGTGCCTGGAGGATGCAGAAGGCAGCTGCAGATGCCTCCCTTTTTCACCAGTGGCTATCTCCTATTTTTCAATACACACAGGGCAAGCAAGTCTTTCTGAAGTATTAGCCATAAACCTTAGAATCTAAACATTTCTGACCCAGGACGAGGTAATGACATCTCAGTTCAATTTGTTTACGTTCTTCATCTCTATGCTAAAGGTCCTATCTGCCTCTAACTTTTGATTATCATGTGACTTCTGTAGTACACTATTTTTTAAGCAAAAGGAAGTCTTACTGGCTTTCTTCCTCCATTAATACATTTGCTTGTTCAGAGGCTATGTCAAGTTTATAGCCTCTATCTATTTACAATCTATTTATCTTCTTTACTGGGCTGTGTATAGCCACAGGGTGGGAATTTCACATATATCAGTGGAAAGTAGGAGATCAGTGTCATATAACCAGCCCACTGGCCCCCCACAGAATAAACAATTGATACTGTGGACAGAATTTTGTCCCCTCCCCAAGTTCATCTGTTCCTCTAAACCTATTCATTTAACTTCAATGCCTAGAATGTGGCTATATTAAGATACAGGACCTTTAAAGAAATAATTACTGTTAAATCAGGCCATTAGGATGGCCCTGAATCCAATAACTGGTATCCTTATTAAATAGAGGAGATTAGGACAAGCTCAGATCACAGAAAGGAAGCTGGCAAGACAAGAATTTGCCATCCACAAGGCCAGGAGACAGGTCTCACAAGAAAACAATCCCACTGACACCTTGATCTTGTGCCTCCAGTCTCCAGGCCTATGAGAAAATAAATGTCTATGGGTTAAGCCACCTAATAGAAATATTACTATGTCAACTCTAGAAACCAACATAACAGATTCACCCACTCTGTGATCACAAGGAACAGGCCTACTTCCTCCCTCCCTTCCTCCCTCCCTCCCCAACTCCTCCCTCCTTCCCTTCCTTCCTCCTTTCCCCCTTCTCCCTCCCTCCCTTCCTCCCTCCCTCCCCTTTCCTTCCCTTCCTTCCTTCCTTCTTTCTTTCCTTCCTTCCTTCCTTCAGCAAATCCACTGAGGGCTGACTATGTGAGGAAAAAGTATTCCAAATTCAGCAGACACATCAAAGAAAAGTCAAAAAGTCAATGTTTCTTGCTCTCGTGGAGATTGTGATGTGGCAGTAGAAGGTAGGCAGAAAATAATAAATAAATAAATAAATAAATAAATCAGTGGTGGCAAGTGCTATAAAAAACAATAAGGCAGACTGTGAGGAGAGGGAGAGACAGGAAAATTTAATCCCTGTTCTCTGTATGTTGGTTTAGGAATGTTTACTCTAAAATGACATTTTTAAAAAGCATATGGGGGGCTGAAGAGATGGCTCAGTGGTTAAGAGAACTGGCTACTCCTGAAAATGACCTAGGGTCAGTTCCCAGCACCCACATGGTGGCTAACGACTATCCATAACTCCAGTACCAGGGAATCTGATGCCTTCTTCTGGCCTCTGAGGGCATTACACCACCCAAGTGCACTTACATACATGTGAGCAAAACACTCATAAAATACATAAATCAAAGAAAAATTAAGCATATGAAAGAAATTCAGGGGAAAGCCATTTATCTGGAAAAAAAAAAAAAAAGATTTCTGCAAACAGAGAAAACACCTAGTGCTCCCTGAGGCAGGAACCAAATATATGAGACTGGAGTGGAGACAGGACAACGAGGGGGTGAGGGCCTGGGGAGGGTCTCACAGCCTGGGTAAAGGTTTTGCTTTCTTGTTATTTTGTTTCTTGGATGGGGACATAGGAGTGACATGATAGGTATTTCATCTTAACAGGAATTTTCTACTTTTGTGTTGTTAGTAAACTATAGGGAAGTCAAGACTGAGGCAAGGAGATGAATCTGGAGGTTTGGACAGCAGCTTTTGTGAGAGAGGACGCCAGCTTGCACAGGTGGAGCTGAGGAGAAGTGATCTGGATCTGATCAGCTCCTTAGCCACAATTCTAAACCTCAAGAAATTCTGACCCTTGGATCCTTCAATGAGATTGGACCAGATTCATTTGACAGCAGAACACATCCTCAACTAACTTGAGTTTATTTGTGGCCTTTAGCCCACTTAAAGTTAATATTCATGCTTGCTATCAAAATATTAATGTGCCTGATTATGGGGAAGCTGGTACAGTCTCATGTGAGTGTTGCCTTATATGACCTTTAAAATCTGAAACCTTCTGAATTCTGAAACATGGCTAGCTCAAAGAGTTTCAGACAAGAAATTGAGAGCAGGCATCTGAAGTAAGAGGCAAGAGGGTTTGGTGATGTATTAGAGAAGGTTCCAAAAACAAGAGAAAAACAAAAGTATAATAACATACTGAAACATATGGGATGCATCCAAAGCAGTGGTTGGTTAAGAGAGCAAGGTGTAGGTGTAATCACCTATAAACAAAGGCCTTAACTCAACAGCATAACTCTCCACATGAGGAGACCTGGAAAAGAAGAGCAAACTAAACCAAAACAGCCTAAAGGAAGGAAGTAACAAAGATTAGAATGGAAAGAAATAGAGTATAGAAAACAGTAGAAAGAATCAACAGAACCAAAAATTTGTTCTTTATGTACCAAATTAACAAATCCTGACCTAGACCAATCAAGGGTTAAAGGATACTCAAGTTGTTAAAATCAAGGATGGAAAAGAACACATTACTACTAACTTAAAAAAAATAAATAGGATTATAAGGTAATGCCACGAACAGTTGGAATGTCAACAAATTAAGCTACCTAGATAAAATGTACAAAGTCCTTAAAGGTACAAACTGTTAAAGCTGGCTCAAGAAGAAAAGACATCTATATCCGCAACAAGGAAAAAGACTGAGGTACTAACAAATTCACACAAAGAAACACTGGGTTCAAATGGCATCACTAGTAAATTATATCAAATGCTTAAAAGACTTCACACCAGTCTTTCACATGGAAAGAAAGAAAGAAAGAAAGAAAGAAAGAAAGAAAGAAAGAAAGAAAGAAAGAAAGAAAGAAAGAGAAAGGAGGGAGGGAGGGAAGGAAGAAAGGGGGGTAGGAGGGAGGGACAACACTACCCAACTCATTCTGTGAGTTTAGTATCCTATTGCCAAACTCAGATGAGGGTATTACAGCAATGCCAATGTTGCTGATGACAATTAATACAGAAATCCTCAGCAAGATACTAGCAAACTGATTCAGTAACAAGTAAAAAGAATTCTGCAATATGAGCATCCTAATTTGTTTTCTGTTGATGTGATGAAACACTGACCAAAAGCAACTTGGGTAGGAAAGGATTAATTCAGCTTACTAGTTGCATCTTGAGGGAAGCTAAGGCAAGAATCTGGAGGCAGGAACTGAAGCAGAGACCTCCAAGGAATGAATGCTATTTGCTAGCTTGCTTCCCCTGGTTTGCTCAGTTACCTTTCTTATACAGCCCAGGTTCATCTACCTATGAATGGCACCACCCAACAGTAAGCTGGGCCCTTAGACATCAATTAACAGTTAAGATAATGCCTCACAGACACAGACACAGGCCAATCTGGTAGAGGAAATTCCTCAATTAAGGCTCCCTCTTTTCAGGTGACTATAGCCTGTGCCAAGCTAAAAAAACTAATCAACACAATGACCACATAGGATTTATCCCAGGAATGTAAACATGGCTCAACATATGAAAATCAACATAACAAACCATATTAGCCGAATAAAGACAAAAGCTGACTGATTATTTCAACAGGTACACCAGTTGAAATGCAAAATTTATGCTCTGAAAACCACAAGATACTGTAGAAATGAACTACAAAAAAAGATATAACTTTCTAGAAAGATATTTCATTTTCAAAGATTATAAGATTTAATGTTATTATAATGTCAGTGCTTTGAAAATTGATCTACAGATTCAACGTGATCTCTACCAAAACTTCAGTTGCTTTTTTCTTGAAAAACTGAGAATTGATACTTAGATCCACAAGGGCCCTAAAATAGTCAAAACAATATTAGAGGGGGGAAAGAATAAAATTGAAGGGCACATACTTCCTAACTTTAAGACTTACTACAGAGCCATGGAAGTATGATACTCCCATAAAAATAAACACAGAGTGATGAGGAGTTAAGAAATAATTAAAAATCAAAAAATACACCCTTGTGGAATTATTGGGCTAACATTACAATACCTCAACAAAAAAGTCTGACTCTTAAATTTAGTTTTTAAAGTGGGCCCAAACTCAGAAGACATTCACTCCCCCAGATAGCTTTTTGGACTGTCTGTCTCCTGGAATTATGCTGTTGGAATTTTCCGGAAC